AACGCGCAGAGGTACCCGGCAACCGTAGAGCAGAGTCAGCATGGCAAACATCCCGTTCTGCGTTACACCATCCCAGGTAGCATATTGAAACACGAAACAAAAGCCATAAAAAATCAAATACAGGAGGGCCATTATGCTACACCTTTGAGCATCTTCGAACGAATGCCACTTACCAAGTCTACAGATGCACCGGTTGCCGGCTGGCCGTGGACAGCAGGAACACCATGATCGCTGTACGAAATAGAAAATCAGAATCACATCTAAACGACAACTTTTCTAGATCATCGATAACCAATTCGTTGGAGACCCGCGCGCACTTCCCCATTCGTGTATACCAGCAAAGACAGCTCAAGATAAAGTCGAAAGGCTCGTGTACAAGGAATGTAAGAAGCTTCGAGAGGTTAGAAGGGGACCGAAGACCAGGACTAGAGTAGCTTGGCAAGATATGGAAGATCATATTGTGGATGAAGAAGGGAGAGGTAACTGTTTATGAAGAAAATCAACACTATGTGATAATGAAATACTACTTAGACGAGGCAGAGAAAGACGACATGCTGCACTACTTCCATAGGGACGGATTTACTTCGCGACAGAGGACGATAAGGAGAGCCATCCGATCCACCGAAGACCCGAGCTGCACGATGGACCATATCCCAGATAGACACTCCCAGCTCACGGATGGATCAAGATTCCTCCAGTTCCAGAACCCAGAGTTACACATGTACTACTCCACGAAGACCATCGGGATGGCGCAGCGCCATGGGCTGTACGCATTGGTAGCTGATGGTGTGCATGATTTGCAACCTGACGCTACCAATCAGATTGGACAACTCTATACAGTCCATGGCGTTTGCAATGACACGATGGACGTGCCATTATTGTATGCCATCACCACGAAGAAGAATGTGAGAACATATGAGCTAATCTTCGCCCAGCTGAAGGAAGAGATGGAAAGGGCAGGTCCCGTAAGACGACTCAGAATTGTACTCGACTTCGAGAGAGCGTCTATCGGAGCGGCACGCAAAGTATTCCCCTCAGCTTCAGTGGAAGGCTGCGCGTTCCATCTCGCACTCGCTTGGAATAGGAAGAAAGATTCGCTTGGGTTGAGAAAGTTCTTGAAGGGAGATGAAGCTGACCACCTAGTGATACGCTGGTGGAACATTGTGAAAGGTTCTATTTTCTTGCCACCACGTCTCCATAGAAGGGTACCGGAGCTTCAACGCCCGCTTGTCCCACCGAGTCATCTAGCATACGAT